TGGAGGTGTGCTTTGGGTCATTATCTTGCTGGAGGACCCAGGATCTTTGCCTCAAACCAAGTTTTCTTACGCTGGGCAAGACATTTCGCTCTAGAATTGCTTGATAATCTTCTGATTTCATGATGCCTGTGATACGGTCAAGCCCTCCAGTACCAGATGCCGCAAAGCAGCCCCACAGCATTATGGATCCTCCACCATGCTTGACTGTTGGTATGGTGTTCTTTTCTTTAAAGGCTTCATTGCACCGTCTGTAAACATTTTGTTTGTGTGAATTACCGAAAAGCTCCACTTTTGTTTCATCTGTCCATAAAACGTTGTCCCAGAAGGCTCGAGGTTTGTCCAGGTTCTCTTTTGCGAAGATCAAGCGTTCTTTTTTATGTCTTTTCTTCAGCAATGGGGTCTTCCTTGGCCTCCGCCCATAAAGCCCCACTTTGTTTAGTGTGCGCCGTATAGTACTTGTTGAAACAATCACACCAGACTGCTCCAGGTTGGTCTTTAGGTCTTTAGATGTTTGACGTGGTGTTTTTTCCACCATTCGCACCAACCGTCGAAGACTTCTGTCATCAATTTTTCTCTTCCCCCCACGTCCAGGGAGGTTCTTGACCGTTCCATGCCTGGAAAACTTCTTAATAACATTACGCACCGTTGAAACAGGGATACCGAGGTCTTTGGAGATGGCTTTATACCCTTTGGAGGTCTTGTGCTTACAAATAATAGCATTTCTGGTGTCCTCAGTCAGCTCCTTTGTCTTTACCATTGTCACATGTGAAGATGGACTAACAGGTGGCTTTTAAAGTACCAACATGATCATTCATTGGTTAATTCATGTCACATGTGTGGAGGTAGTTCATCGCAAGTGATCTTTATTTGTGATTTGCAACAGGTGAGCCGAATTGGGTTTTCATACTGATTTGCTGCAAAGGGTGCCAATACCATTGACATGGTAAACATTATGTTTTTCTTTGTTTTCCTCATAATGTTTATCTTTTTAAATGTTTTTTATCATCTGCTGTTTTGCATTGAGCAAAGCTATCAGCAGTAAAATGTTGTTTCACTTGATGAATTTCCTTCAAAAAATATTCCACTATATGTACTTAAACTTCATGGGTGCCAATAATGGTGAGCAGGACTGTACATGTACCATCGGCGGGATTTCAGGGTGAACTTGTATTTTGCTGTAAATGAGTCCAACAAATCCACACCTCCCATGTATTTGTTGTAGGTAGCCACAATGTAAGGTCTTTCAACGTCAATGTAGGTTTTGGTGGCTTTGTCCCAGCGCTGAATCTCCTGCACAGGTTCTGGTCCAGTGAAGGATGACAAGTGTGACTGCCCTGTTGTCATACCATTTCACAGCGCAGATGTTGTGTGTCCCCTCCACTCTGTGGTCAAAGTTTCCTCTACCCTTCTTCTTCAAGCTCTTCTCATCTTCAAGGTTGCAGTTAGGGAGCCGCACCTGCCTGGCTGTACCCACATAATGGATTCCATGCTCAAGGAGCTTCACTACCAGTGGAACAGAGGTGAAGTAGTTGTCTGCATAGATCTTGTAGTTCTGACCTTTTGGAAGTGTGGAGGCAAGCTTCAATACAACATCACCTGACAATCCAAGTTCAGATTTGACGCGTATTCCATTCTTGCTGCCCTGGTAAACATCGAAGTCAAGCATCATGCCAGAGATTCCAGCTCTCACCCATACTTTGAACCCCCATGGATGTGGCTTGCCTCGCATATACTGCTTGATGCTGCTGAACTTCCCCTTGAAAGGAATCATCATTTCATCCACAGAATTGTGCTCTTCTGGTACCACCTGCAGGCATTTCTCCCTGAATGATTCAAGCCATGGCCTGAGTTTCCAGAGTTTGTCCCTCTTTTCAATCTCTGACACTGTCAAATTGTTGATGTAATTTTGTCAACAGAGATTGGAATCTGTTGCGTGGCATCACATCGGCAATAGGGGGGTGCCGTGTATCTGTCTCCCAGTACATACGGGTTCCAGGCATTTGTACCAAGCCCATCCTCAGGTACATGCCCAACATTTTCTGTATTTCCTTTGTATTAGTGTTAACAGATCTTCCATCATTTTGAACGCTGTACTCATTTGTACTTGTAGCCAGAGCTTGAATCATGTCCTCTGACACTAACTTTTGGAAGTATTGGAGTGGTGTGTGGAGGAAGGTTACATCGTCTGTGACTGGTGGACCAGAAAAATCAGTATTGGGACTGATAAAATCCTTTTTTTGCCAGCGATATCTGTCACGGGGCATGATGCGTTCATTTTCTTGGGGCTCAATGTCCACATTAGCTGCGCAGTCAGGCGGCTCTTGGTTTTCTTTGTCCACAAAGGGATCATTGTCTGACTCCTCGTCACTCGCATCAGTGTCATCAAGGGGTACGTCCACATCACTCTCTCCATCTTGGATGATTGCAATGATATCCTGCACACTGTACCGAGGATCTTTCCTTGCTGCTGGCATTCTGAAATGGAAAAGATAAAATTTAAACAAATGTATATATAAATAGTACACATACTTAGATTCTAGATAACCTGCAGGAAAAGACTGGGTGGTGGAGAGATTGATGTTAATTTGAAGTGTTTATGTAACCGTGCTGAACTTGGCCGTCTGTTTGTTCAGCTCGGTCCAGCTAGAAGTGGCTCTGTTCTCGTCTCTTCCTTTGTACCGTCGTAATTTATCTCTGCGTTGTGTTTGTTTAATGATGGCCACGAGACAGAATGTGTTGAACAACGCCTTTAATCTGCGTGGAACAGAATATGGACTGGTCACATATGGCTCTTCAAACTGGCAACCGCACCTCTCGAGCCCGTCTCGCATATAATGGCCAAAAACTATACATTTATATTTATAAGAAAGACATTAAAATAAAATAAATACCTGCGTGGAACAGAATATGGACTGGTCACATATGGCTCTTCAAACTGGCAACTGCACCTCTACAAGGAATAGCATTAGCGATTAGCATCAAGCTAATTATTCATTCGGATTAAGCTAGCTGTTAAATACCAAACATATTGATTTAGCACGGTGTTTTAACAATAGAAAATGTAGGTCGTACTTCATTTGTCATCCATACATCTAGCTAAGGCTCATATAATTGACAATTGCTTATAAAAACACCGTACTTAATGATTGTGCTAACAGCGAAGAACTCACCTCGCGCCCGTCTCGCATATAATGGCGAAAAATACTGTTTGTGTTGAAGGTGGTTAGTAATCCTTATAAGTAAATTAAAATGATTAGATATGGCAATATATCTTAGTATATAAGCTTCTAACACAATAATATATATAATCCAATATAAGGCAAAGGGCTAGAATGTGTAAATTATGTGTGGTTCAAAGTTATATTGGGAAAACTTCCTCTCAAGACATTCCTCTCAAAAACAGGGTTGTTTTGACTAGCACATTCACCCAATGTTGTAATATTGCAACAATTACAAAACAAGCTCTAGATAAAGTGTAGGGCACATTTTCCACAATAACTACATATTTACATGTTGTAGACACTGTAATAAACACAGAAAAAAATATGCAAAGCTTTTTACTTACTTCAATTAGATGAATCCAGTCCAGTAAATCGAGGGAATGATGCTCAAGCAAAAATCTGGAGGTTGTGTGACTTCTTCACCTGAGGGCAGGCCTTGTATACAAATGTAGGACCCAATAGCATTGTGAGACGAAACAACATGACTCAATGAGTATGTTAATGCAGTTGAACCAAAAAAAATAAGGTTTATTTTGGAAGGACAAAAAATGTTGTAATTCTGCAACAGTGGGTCTTACAGGGTTAACAAAAATAGAGCATATTTAATGTCTGTCTTTTCAGGTTTTGGGGCTCAAGTCTTCTCCTTGGTTGAGCTGCTTTCTGTTGGGCAGCTGGAAAGTATCTCTTGACTTTAAAGGCTCTGATTTTAAAAAAATTCAACCCTGAATGCTGTGAGTTACAATGTGAGAAAGAGGATAGGTTTTCCTCCATTTTTCTGTAAAAATAATTTCAGTGAGTTAAAGATTGTGGACACAAATGCAGCTTAAAAAAGAAATCTAAAGGATTTCCCTGCATTTCTCCAGTCAGTTGGAAGCGGCACTTTGTACCAAAGTTCCGTACCGTAGGAGTCCATTACACACTCAGAAATGACTGATGGAAGAATTTTGAGTGTTAAAAAAAATGCATAAAATACTATAATAATACTATACATGAAAATAGCGCAATACTTTGAAGCTATTGTTAAAGTTGAATGGTGTCTGAAGATATGCTGAAGTAATAGACCATGGGTATTCAAGAAAACTGTGAGGAGGTCCAGTTCAAAGAAATTTCCTCAAGCAGAGGTCCGCAATATCGTCTATTTGCAGTATGACAATATCGGAATACATCGTGTTAAAAAAAATAATAATACAGGTTAAAATAATTTCAAAGAAGTTTATTAGCACTGAAACACAGGATAACATTGTGTGGCTGCAGTTTAAATTAAATTAAATTAAATTATGTATTCAAAAATAAAGAAAGTGCTTAAGAAAAAATAGCAGTTTCAGTTTCCTTTTGATTGAACAATCTCAATATTTCTGCTCAACAAAACAACTCTCAAAACACCTGAACTATTTCTCTTACAGATTTCTCTTACATCTGTCTTCCCCCAATTTCCCTTGCTCAGTCTGAGAATTGAGCTTTGGCTTGCCCTGCCAACATTTTAAATCTGGGATAGAAGGAGGTCAGGGCCATTATCATGCACATGTGCAGATGCTCATTGGTGAGCTTGGAACGATATTTTGTTTTTATTATGTTCATTGTAGAGAACGCTGCCTCACAGCTGTATGTGGAGCCGAACATGGTCAAGATAAACAGGGCCACTTTTTTCAGATCTGGGAAAGCTGTCTCAGAAACCATCAGGAGCCAGAATGTGGTAGATTTGGTTCTTGCAAACTGCTCTTTCAGGGCCACATCTGCCTGGAGGTCAATCATTTGCATCTGGAGAGGCCCAGTGTTTGCCCACTTGAAGTGATGTGTGACATCATTTGTGAATGCTCTGACATCAGTGATGAAAAAAGGATTCTGTATGAAGAGGGTGAGCTCCTCTCCAATGCTGAAGCTATCAAAGCGTTTGCTGAAGTTTTCAATCAACTTGTCAACAAAGTCAACAAAAGAGGAAACATCTCTATGGCCCTGCACCTGTTCTTTCACTTTTGGGAAGTGTGTGTAGTCTCCTTGCAGATCTTCTTTATACACCTGAAGTTTTCGTTGAAATGAGCGGACAGCTGTCATCAGATCACAAATGGAATTGTTCTTTCCCTGCAGCTGCAAATTAAGCCCATTCAGGTGTGACATGATATCAGCCAAAAAAGCTACGATACCCATGTTTTTCTCGTCATTTAGAAAGACAGAAAAGTTGGCTGCTTTCTGACTTTCCAGTTGTTCCAAGAAAGCTGTTACTTCATGTCTAATTGACCAAAATCGCTCTAGCACCCTGCCTTTGCTGAGACATCTAACATTGTTGTGTAGCAAAAGATCATCAGAGTTTGCATCAACCTCTTTGAGAAATTCCCTGAGCATGCGATGCTGACAAGAAGAAGATGCCCTGAGAAAGTTGATGATTTTCATAATTGTCTAAATCACCTCAGCATACTCATCTGACAGAGTGGAGCAAAGGACAGCCTGATGAATAATGCAGTGGTAAGCGATCAGGTCAGCGTTGTCTTCTTTCAACCTTGCCACAGCTCCTTTTTCTCTCCCTATCATGGCATGGGCTCCATCAGTGGTTATTGATATCACTTGTTTTGGCTCTATTCTTCGCTTTGCTAGCATTTCCTTAATGGCCAGGTAGATGTCTTCTCCTTTGGTAGTGGTCTGCAGGGGAGTCACACCTAAGAGGTCTTCACAGAACTGATCTTTCTCCCTGTTTAAGAATCTTATGTAAATCAATAGCTGAGCTTTGTCAGACACATCAGTAGATTCATCCACAGCCAGGCCAACACACGGTGCCTTACAAATAGCTTCTTCCAGCTGGGACAGTGAATCTTGAGCTAGTATCTCACTTCTCCTTGTGGCTGTGCAGGCTGACAGGGGTATTTTTTTCTCTATTTTGTCACAGAGCTCATCTTTTTATTTACCATCAAGTAACGCCTCTGCTATTTCAGTCATGCACTCTTTGACAATACTTGCATCTGTAAAGGGCTTTTTGTGTTTCCCTAAAACCCAAGCAACACGGAGGGAACATTCATTAGCACGCTGTTGTGCGCTGAAAGCACGGCTTAATACCCTGGTGGACTGATCATATTGGGCAGTAAGACTTCGAATTTTCTGCGTCCGGAGTTCGGACTTAGGGGGGTATGATTG